CCCTTAGGTACTTCTGATCACGGTTTGATCTCTCTAAAACTATTATCAAATTCTTCTACTTCATCAGAATCCTCCTACCATCGTACTACATACAACTACCTTAAAGCTGACTGGGACTCTTTCCGTGATTTTCTTCGTGATGGCCCTTGGGTAGAAATCTTTCGTCTTCCTGCTGACAAATGTGCTTCTTACATAACTTCGTGGATTCAGGCTGGCATGGAATCTTTTATTCCCTCTCGACGATTCCAGGTCAAGCCTCACTCTTCTCCTTGGTTTTCCTCACATTGCGCTGCAGCAATTTCTAATCGAAACCGTTACTTCCATATCTATCAGCAAAACAATTCTCCAGAAAACAGACATCTGTTCACTATCGCCAGAAACCATTGTAAAAAGGTTTTGTCTGACGCCAAAGCTCGCTATTCCCAGGTCATTAAATCTCGTATCTCATCACAAAAATTAGGCTCTCGAGACTTCTGGAGAATCTTTAACAGTATCAATAATAAGGGAAAATCTGTTATTCCTTCTCTCTTGTATGGTTCAGACTTTGTCACCTCACCTAAAGACAAAGCTGAATTGTTTGCTAAGAACTTTTCATCAATATCATCTCTTGATTCCACTAGTTGCGTTTTACCTGACATAGCCGTCAAACAGGTTGATCCCTTGCTTGACATTCGCATCACTTCAGCTTCTGTATCTAAAGTAATTTCCTGCTTAGACTCTTCAACAGCTTGTGGTCCTGACAACATTCCTGTTGTAGTCTTGCAGAGGTGTTCTCCGGAGCTTTCATCCATACTTTCTAAACTATTTAACAAGTGCTTATCAGAGTCTTGTTTTCCATCATGCTGGAAAGCAGCATCTGTTATCCCTATTTTCAAAAATTCCGGAGAGCGATCTGATTCATCTAACTACCGTCCCATTAGTCTTCTTCCTGTCATAAGCAAGGTTTTTGAATCTTTAATCAACAAACACTTAATCTCTCATCTTGAATCAAATAACTTACTTTCTGATCATCAATATGGATTTCGGTCTTCTCGTTCTACAGCTGATGTGCTAACAGTAATAACCGATAGGTTTTACCGTGCATTAGATAGAGGTGGAGAGGTTAAGGCTATCGCACTTGACATTTCTAAAGCTTTTGATAAAGTTTGGTATGCTGGTCTTCTCCTTAAGCTTTCTTCTTATGGTGTAGCTGGTAACGTCTTTAAGATTATTGAGTCCTTTCTTTCCAATCGTAGTATAAAAGTTGTCCTCGATGGACAACACTCTTCTTCACATCCTGTAACTTCAGGGGTTCCTCAAGGTTCAATCCTTGGCCCTATACTCTTTTTAATTTACATTAACGATCTTCCAGATATTCTCACATCTAAGGTGGCATTATTCGCTGACGACACTACCATTTACTCTTGTCATGATAAGAAGCCTACACTCTCTGATTGCTTGGAGGGGGTATCTGAGCTTGAAAAGGATCTCACTTCTGCTACAGCATGGGGCTCACAGTGGCTGGTGAACTTTAATTCAGATAAAACTCAATTTTATTCGGCCAATCGTTATCGTAATAATTTAGATCTTCCTATATTTATGAATGGTAATGTACTAGATGAGTCATCTACCATTCATCTTCTAGGATTAACTCTTACTTCTGATCTTTCTTTTAAACCGTATATCAAATCCATTGCAAAATTAGCATCTGCTAAGGTTGCATCTCTTTATCGAGCTCGACACTTTCTTACTCCAGATTCTATTCTCTATCTCTATAAATCTCAAATCCGTCCCTGTATGGAATACTGTTGCCACATCTGGGGCGGATCTTCTAATGATGCTCTTTCTCTTTTAGACAAGGTGCAAAAACGAATTGTAAACATAGTTGGACCTGCTCTGGCAGCCAATCTCCAACCTTTGTCACATCGTCGTAATGTTGCTTCTCTTTCTCTTTTCTACAAATACTATAATGGGCACTGCTCTAAAGAGCTAGCGTCCCTTGCGCCATCTACTAAAATTCATTCTCGTGTTACTCGCCATTCAATCAAGTGTCATCCTTTTTCTGTGACTGTTCCTAAGTGCTTCAAAAACTCTTATTCTTCTAGTTTTTTTCCTCGAACATCAGTTCTTTGGAATTCGCTTCCTTCATCTTGCTTTCCTGATTCATATAATTTGCAATCTTTTAAGTCATCAGTCAATCGTTATCTTGCTCTACAGATTTAGTCTTTTCTCTTCCAGTAACTTCCAACTCTTATAGTGGTTGCTTGCAGCCTTGTTGGAAGTGAAGATGTTAAAAAAAAAAAAAAAAAAAAAAAAAAAAAATATAAGCAAGATTGAAAAATTTCAAAATTTATTACGCTAAGAGGAGGTTTTAAACCCTCCAAAACAACAATGATGACAGCGCATTCAACCACTGCGCTATCAATAAAATGCATTTAGCAGAAATTATAAGCCTCTTATAACGTTTATGTATGCGGAAAAGGTGCGTATGTTAAGTTTTTCGCTCTTTTTTTCTTCAGAATAAATTATTTTACTAAAAAATATTGAAGTAAATAAGAAATAGATATAGAAATTTTCGCTAGAAATAGATATGTAAATTGGTAAAGACCTGTATTTTACAGATTCGGAAAGCTAGGAAAAAGTATAGAAAAGTTTGGTTTGGAATAGATATACAAAGACCCATATTTTTACGGGGCCAATCTCAGCTAGTATCTAATATATCCGGCATATCGGGATATTAAAATATATATCCGGCTTATCTATATCTGGCCGGATATGTAAAAAATCATATCCGGTACACCTCTAGTATATATGCGCTTTGAACAAAACGCTTCCCCGTACCAAAAAATGTTTAACCTAAAACTGGGGAAAAGAGGGTTTGACGACCCTGCAGTCATATGACCCTAAGTTCAAGATAATTAATTTTTTGTTAGGTAAAATATATATATAAATAAAACAAATGAACAAATTTTTTTTAAAACAACAGCTTTAGGTAGCTGATAGGACTGCCTAAAGCTCAAAGTTATTAAATTTTAATAAATCCTTTGTAACTTTAATATGATTGACTAACTGGCTCAATAATTTGATTTCTATATAAAATTGCAGTAAAAAAACACAAAAGAAACTGGGTAAAGTCACTCTGATCTCTATATTTCAACAATTTGTTGTTACTAAATAATTTTACTAATTTTGCTTACAGATCTATTTTATTGCAAAACATTTGCAAAACATTTGCATCTTATGGAATTTAAAACCACAGAATTCTTTTAAAAACAATAAAACAGTTATTCACAATATAATAAGCCCTTAACATTCAGTAATTCATAGTTTCTCTATATATTTAATGTAAATAAATATAATAAAAATATATAAAAATAAAAAAAATCATTAAACATAAATGTTTTATAATTTAGTCATGTCAACCTTAAACATCTGTTTGCTGCAAAATTTTACAATTGGCTAATTACAGCACTTTTGTGTCAAACTGAAATTCTTCTAATTTCAAGAGTTGTGTAATGATTATACAATTAACAATAAACAAACTACTCTGATGATCCTTGAAAAAAAAGTCAAAGGATTTTTTTTTTAATCAAAAGTTTGACAATCTAAAAGAATTAAAAAATTGAATAACCCTAAAAAGTACACAACTATATAAACTTTTGCATACAACAGATTATCCATTTCTTCACTAGATAATCAAGAAATAAACTGTTGCGTTGCCATAAACCATAGGTACAGTATGCCAATATAAAAACAGTATTAATTAATTGACTAATTGATAATATAAGAATTATCTTTAAGAAACAAACGCTGGAGAGGTTTAAAAAAGTTTGTACGTGGTATAAAAAAAAACTTAAAACTTTGGCAAAAAACTTTTTTTGCTTCACCAAATAACTTCTTTCCATTTTTATTTGCAAATCAAAAATCTAAGCTCTTAAATTTTTACCAAAAAATGAATACCAAATACAACTTAATTCTACCTGAACTCAGGTTGCAACAAGTAAATTTAAAAAGGAATTTTTAAAGCCAAATACTTTTATATGTAATTAAAAAACAAATTTTGCAATCAATTTTTTCTGATGTTAATGTTTTATTTTACTTACATTAGGCTGTATACGTGTGTAAAAAAAAACAAAAAAGTTTAGAAAGATGCACATTTCGTTTAAAAGTCAACGCCTTATCCAAATATGCTAAACACGTGTATAAGTTTGAAAACTACCAATATACTTATTTTAAAAATTATTCTATTTTTTTTCATTTAAAAAATAAACTTAATTAAAATTAACTAAATTAATTGACTTATTACAAAACTAATTAATGAATATTGTATTGTCATCAAGCAAGAGTATGTATGCAAAATATGAAGAAAATCTATCATCAGGAAGTGACTCAAAAATTGATTGTAAGATTTGATGCTCACAGGCAAACAAACAAACAAACAAGCAAACAGACAGAGGCAACGAGTTAATAAAAGCATTAGTAAAAAAGGTAGCTTAACATCAAGCAACAACTAAATAAGATGTATTAGTTCAGATTCAATTCATTAATCCATAAAAAGTATTTTCTTTCTTATGATGTTTTTTATGCCATAATAAAATAGAATATGAAACACATTTGCTTGTTGCTATAAACAATAGTAACTGTAGTTTTGAATAAACATTGCAGGAATGTAATTCTCAATAAGTGAAACAAAATGAATTTATTACTTAAACTAATGTTTCTTTACACTATTATGAAATATAGAATGTAGAAAAACAGGAAGTGTAAGTTTGATGCATTTTTATTGAAAAGTATGTTATACACTATGCCAACTATTAGTCTTCTATATTCTGTAGACCTAAATTTTTTTTAATGCTGTTTTTATATTTAAAAGATCAAGCTTATCTAGAATACTAAACAAGACAGATTACAATTGCACTTTAACAAATTTTAAAACATCAGTGGATGCTTTATTTCTTTATGGTTATATCAAATATCATTTACTTTTAAACTATGATTGAAAAACTATAAAAACTCAATACCTTATTTGTTACACGTGGCCCTTTCTTTTTTTGAGATACTTCTCCATTTGCTTGATTGAATGATAGAACAATGAAAAGAATGAAAAAAACAGCAGCAACTGAAAAGAAACCTACTTGAACCTTCATTCTAAAAGAAGACTTTTTAATCTTACGATAAAGTGCTGAAGTAATGAACATAAAAATATATTCCAAATATTTTTTTTAACCTTAATTATGTTCTCTAAATAAAATATTACGCAAATAATGTATATACTAAATACGAATACTATTAAATTTTTATTTATATAAGATTTAATTTGAAGAAAAATCAAACAGTTCTAAACATGTATAAATTTTGTAAAATTTAAGTCTTTATTTAAAAACGTGCAAAAAAGAAAACTATAGTTGTTTTCAATCATTGATTGAGTTTTATTTTAACGTCTATCACTACACAAACGAAACATTTTACAATGTTAATTCCGTTAATGGACATTTATTAAAACCTATAAATGGAATTCACGGAAATAAAACTGATATAACTAGTGGGAAGGTTGTTTAAAAAAACGTAAAAGCATTGTATGTTAAATAGCGACGTGTCACTGCTAAAAATAACAAATTAAAACTGATTGTCACGTTAGATTCCAGGGCGAAATTTCGCATTTTAGTTAAAGTTAAAGACTGATTTCTGTTAACATTTTTATATATATTTAGTATTAGGATCTCGGTTAGCCGATTATAACATACATTCAAGGTCTCGGTTTCCGTTTGAGTGGGCAATATCCACTCGAACATAGTAAATGTCCGTTCCGGAGTAAAAATGCCCATTCGAACTCCAATTATTAAAAAAAAAAAACATTTTTTACTCCAACTCACATTTTTAACATAGTATAACTTTTTTAACATAGTATAAATATTATTTTTACAATGCACTTGTACGTTTGGGCAGAGTTTGACCTTGGTCTAAGCTTTGGTCTTGCCTTATTGTCAAAAATCAGTGTTTTGGCCTTGAAACTGTTAACCTTGGCCTTTGCTTCGGCCTTGGCCTTAGCCTTGAACATTTTGACCTTTGCCTTCCACTTTTTCTTAATAATTTTAGAACTTTCTTTCGTGTTTGCATTTTAAAAATTGTGCTACAGTTGATTTTGTTTACAAGAGTTATTTTTGTTTACTTGAAAACTAGGGCTGTACCGGATTTCGGCTCCGGCTCCTGCTCCGGCCGAAATCCGGCCATTTTTACAAATCCGGCGCAAATCCGGCTCCGGCAAAAATTTAGCAAATCCGGCATAATTTTAGCCGGAGTTTTGAATTTTGTCAAATATTTATTACATTTTTTTTGCCCGTGTTTACATGTATACATAATATTTTATTTATAAAAATCAATTTTTTTTGTAATTCTATATTTTATGAACCTCATATTTGTTTTGGTATTTGTATTTATATTTCTTTATAATTTAATAAGCTTAGTCTAATTTCAAACAACAACGCAACAAAAAATTCTGAAGGGAAGACACACGATATTCTACAATGATGCAGGTATAAAGACTATGATGTCAACCCTAATCAAGTGATTGGATGAGCGTTTTAAAAGCATTGAAAAAAGAAACCTCTTTATATACTGACGAGGCTGGTTGACTCACAATTTAAAACTAAATTCTCCTCATTACAGGCAACACTGACAGCTAAAAAAACAAGATTGAAGTCAATCTGAGCATGCTGAACAGAAAATTGACAAAACTGAAGAAAATCCACCAAAATAAGCCGGGCTTAATAATTTTTCTACATCATCATCATCATTACTCTGGCAATTTATTGATAAAATTATTCAGTCTACGTCCGCTGGTGGCAGGGCACATAAACAACAATTACTAAAAGGCATTAAAACTCAACTAAGGAAATATCCGAAAGAACCAGAAATAAATAGACACAATGATCCACTACAGTGGCGGAGTGACAAAATTCCGGAAAAAAAGTTCAACAGAATTACTATAAACTTTTAAAACATATGGTCTATAGAATTTCTTTAGAATTTCTATTAATTTATATATAGAAATTGCTATAAAACTTTTTAAATAACAACAATGAAGTTTAACAGAAAACAGCAGTCACTTGGTATTCTGAATAGTCCACATTGTTGACCATGCTCAACACCAAGTAGGGATGTACAGGATTTTGGCTCCTGTAGTTTTGTTTTGAAATCCGGCTCCGGCTCCGATTCCGGCCAGATCTGTCAGTAGAAATCCGGCAAAAAATTAAATCCGGTACAGCCCTATTGAAAACATTAGAACTTAATTTTATGTTTTATGTCACGGTTTAAATTGCCACTGACTAGCCATTTTAAAACAACAATCAATGATACGATTGGTCAGGGCCGTCCCGGAGAGTTTTAAAAAGAGGGGAGTGACATGCTTGTTTTTGCCGAATAGAGTCAAAAAAATTTTTTTTGCTAACTTATCTAAAAAAAAAAGTCCTCGTTTTGCAACATTTCGCGACGTTAGAATTATCTTGTTCTATCTCCACATTTTTTACTTTTGGCGTATAAATTTTTTTTTATAACTTATGTTTTTTCCGCAACTTTTTTACTTATAACTTAGATTTCAATTCAATAGAAAGACATTATTTTGAGGAATACAATACTAATATTAACTTAATTTTTTCAGAAAGTGGAAATAGAACAAGATAATTCTAACATCGCAATTTGCCGACTGCCAAGTATAGATCCCATTTTGCCGACTCAGTGTCCAATTTGCCGACTAATAAAATTCGTTGGGGGTTGAACACCCCCCTCGGGGCGGCCCTGCGATTGGTTAACGGGAATTTAATAGATCCGTATATTAGGCCACATGATTTTTTTAACGTTTTTTATAGATAAAAATTTCAAAATTTAAAAACGATTTAATTACGTGAACTTTTCTTAAATTAAAAAACAGAATTTTAAAGATTTTTTGAGTTAAAAAAGTGTATATTTAAATTATAATTTATTATAAAGTTTTTATTTTATTTTATTTATACTGTTTTTATTCAACTTATCAAAATCTGTTCAAAAAAGTTATTAATAATGTATTTCTAATAGTTTTTTTGATAATTTTTATTATAGAATCCAATTTTGAGCCTTTGAATAAGCATTAGTTTAGTTATTCTTCTTCGATAGTTTTGTCACTGAAATATCAAAAGGTTTGGTCAAGAAAAACACCATAAACAACATTGACATCTAGTAGAAAAAGTGTTACACCTCAAATTTAAATGCTCTTGACCAAAAAAAAAAAAAAAAAAATAGCTCATTTGCAAATTATAAAAAAATCATGTTTTAAAAACAAAATAGTTATGAAAAACTTGAACAAATTAATCACTAGACTTGAACCAAATAGACTTTCTGTTAAAAAAAACTGTACATAATGAAACAATATTCAAGAATTAAAAATCTTTATTTGAAAACTATTTCTGTATCCCTGCAACGTCAGCTCATGTCAAGCGTATCTTTTGTCAGAGTGAATTGATAATGCGTTGTCATAGAGCTCGTATGTCTGATTAGTTGCTTGAAACTTTGATGTTTCTTAAATGTAATAAAGATTTTTAGGCTATGCTAGTTATTGTTTTTGACATAATGTTAATGCTAAAAACTAATATCAATATTTTTAATTAAAATTATTATAAAATATTAGTTGTTTGCATTAAGTACAAAAATGAATAAAAATAAAGAACTAAAAGTTTTATTCTTTTATTTTTATGTATTTTTGTTTTTGGTTTTCATATTGCTAAGACTATTTTTAGTACTCATATTGATAAGACTACCTATGTCTTCTTTTTGCCCCGGCCATGAAAATATTTGTTTATACATTTTGGTATTGTAGCAATATCTAAACGGCGAAATATATATATAAAAAAAAAAATTAAAAAAATGTATATTATCTCCAAATATATTTTCTTACTGACTTCGTTGAATTCTCCGCATAACCTTGGTATAATTTCACAACATGCTACCTACAGTTTTATTAACAATTGGTCTTAACATAAGGCCAAAATTTGTCTTTGGTTTTAAAACCTAGTTAAAAATGGAAACAAAAACAATCAGATTATTCATTTTTTGAGGGCTAAGATGGCGTCCAAGAAGAATTTTTAAAACGAATTCTTAAAGTTGTAGAGGATGTTGATTCTTTGCTGTCCAGGAAGTCGATGCAGTCAATGCAGCAGATGGTAAATGACCTCGACATGTCAGTGAGAACAATGAAAAGAAAAAAAAGAAAAAATGAGAAATGTGATATTTGGGCTAAGTCATTAGCCAGAACAGTTCGGTTTTTACTTACTAAAAGTATTTAGGCCAACAAACTTGAAAGTTGCAAACGAACCTTGGCCTCACTGAAGAATGGCATCTAGGCTTTAATCGTCTCTGATGAAAATATTTTACAGTGCATCATTCCTCAAATAGCAGAAACGACCGTATTATCGTTAAACTTTCAGAACACTTCAGATATACTTTTAAAACAAAATACCGTAGCCAAGTCATGGTTTTTGCAATCATTGAATTTAATAGCCAAAAAATATCTCGCGTCTTTATGAATTAAGTCAAATAACTGAATACTAGAACTTATACATAACATTCAATATTCGTTATGTCAACCCTTGGATAGATGTAACTTATGATAAAACTACAGAAGCTGTGTTCACCCAAGATGGAGCACCGTGCCTTCCTGCTAAAAAGAGGGTAGCATGCCCTATCTCGTAATTGCAAAAATGATTTATCTCGAATCTCTGATTTAGATTCGAGATAATCGTTTTTGCTGTTCAAATGATTTATCCAAATCTCTGATTTGGAGAAATCATTTGAACAGCCTCAAAATTAGAAACTCATCTTGAAATCATTTTAGAGAAAATCTCCACTCCTTCAGCCGATCTAGCGGCACTCCTTTGCGGCAACAGGCTATAAAATACTCGATGTATGTGCTGAATCCACCGAAAACATGCTATTTCAGTATGACTCATTGCTATAGTATTTTAAACTGCTCTTTTTTATATCATGTTACAATAATGAAAATAATGCATTATCATCATAAAAATCATTGGTGATACTTCAACAAATAGGTTAATCTAGTTTATTTTGTCTTTATCCAACAAAAAAACTTTTTTGTAGTAGGATATTTTTCTTGTAATAAAAAATTTGGCTTTTCTGTTATACTTGCACCATTTTTTGTTACGCACCCGGTACGATAAGGTCAACCTTTGTATCGTACGAGTGTTTATCGATAACAAATGTTTAATAGTAACACACTTTTTTATTTTCAATTTACTTTATTTACATGGTATAAAAAAATCTGTTAAATAAAATTCAAACACTTTTCATAAAAATAAGATAAAAAACATGTTTCAAAGAAATTAAAGAGGATTAAATGTTACTGATATCTTTGATCCAAATAAATAATTGAAACTGTTGCAATAAAGAGCTAAGAAACAGTACAAGCTATTTAAATATATAGAAATTTTATATAAAACTATAGAACTTATAAAGACATTTAAGTTATTATCATTGTAACTAAGGAGAGGAAAAAGATGTCGACCACGACTCAGGCGGAGACGGTAGTTCATATATGTTTGGACCAAAATTAGGAGAACAGGCATCTTTATATGAAGGTGAATATATAGTAACGGAAGGAGGGGTAGGAAAAGGATTGATTGCATCATCGGTAGAAGTACGCTGGTATAGGAACTGATTCCTCGCAGAACGATCATCGTAATGAAAACGAGGAGGATTAGAAAATGAAACAGAATTACTTGTGCATCCAACACCTCTACCCCATGAATCTTTTCTTTTTCTTTTTTTTGAGCCATTTGTATAAACTTTTATGTTTGTTGGCGATATTGGGGACTGCGGTGAACCATCCCAATCAGAAAGCAAACTAACTAACTGGAGATGTTTTATCTAAACAAACCCCAAAATTATTTCAAAGCCCAAAATATTTTGTAATTTAAATGCAATAACACTATTAATTTCAAAATATAAAATCTTACTTCTTTTGCTATCATGAGAGGCGTTCTATCCATGTTATCTCCTAAATTTTTATTTGCATAATGTGCAAGAAGAGCGCTCACAGCATCTATCGATATAGATACTACAGCCAGAAATAGCGGACTTTGACCCTTAAAATAAAAAATATGATTTTATTACAATATTTTATTAAGAAAAAAAAATTAAAATTACTAAAAAAATGAAAACAATCCAATTTTAATAAGAAGTTTGTAGCCATACCAATATATCTTGAACGTCAACTTTAGCATTGTTTTTATGTAAAATATGTATGGCGTTGGCATTTCCTGCCAAAGCAGCGTGGTGTAATGCAGTGTGACCATTCACATCGGTAAGAGTAACGCGAGCACCAACAGCAAGTAACTCATCCAGCATACAGCAATCTTAAGTGAAACAACAATAAATTTAATAAATATAAAAAAAATATATTTAATAATATAAATATAAAATTTTTTTTTTTAAAAAAAAGTAAAACTCTTTCTAATTTATTTATCTTCTTTTATCGGATTCTAAAAAAATCACTTTTCTAAAATAACCAGCAAGATTTTGACTGATAAAAAAAAAAAAAAAAAATTAGTTGTTAAAAACACGTTTTTTTCTAAGATGCTTATGAAAATAATATAACATTTTTTTGTACTGATATTTGAAACATGTCAGAAGTTAATTTTAATTTTTTTTCTAGCATGAAAGCAAAACTTTTTATCGATCAGATACTATGACACCATTTGCCATCTTTAATTTGTTGAAAATAAACAACTCATATAGTTTGATAGAGTTAATTTAGCTTGATTTAGGTCAATTATCATGAACTCAAGGTCACGAGGTCTTGTGAAAATCAATTTAGTAAAAGGTTTAGTCTTGTTTTCTTTCAACATGTCTTGTTAATGACAAAATCTAAAAAGTTAACAAAATACAGTTATGATGTAAAAACTACAAATATTTAATGTATAATAGTTTAACACCGCCAGAGAATATTTTTCTATTTCTTCAATTTGGCATTTTCGCTTCCATTTCTTCACTTTACCAAAACTTTTAGTAAAAAAAAATTAACTCTATTGTTACAGTCATTTTTCTTTTATGAAAAAAACGTAATAAATAAAACAACAAGTTTTGTTTGTTTTTTGATTATAGTTAAGTATTGTTTTTAATATTTATTTAAAACTAAAATTTTATTATTTCTTTGCATGGATTTAGTTTTGCAAAAACGTTAAGCAAAAAAAATCTTGGTGTTGCTTAAAACATCCATTAATTTAAATCCCACCAATCTCTAACCTTTGGTCTTTCTAAAGGACAATCAAGGTTTTCAAGTTCTTGGTCTTGAGGTCCTAAAAGTCTTGCTTGGTCCTAAAAAGTCTTGCTTGAGATCACGAGTCTTAAAAGCATGGTTGTCTATTAGAGATAAAAAAAAGATTTAGCCTTTCATAAGACTGTCAAGCTAAAAGGCTCATCAATCCTTGAGAGATAAACGGAAAAGTTTTTCTTGTAAACTTTAAAGTTGATTCATAACTTCAAATTAATTTTGATTGCTATAAGAACATTTGCAATAAAAAAACTTTTATGTTTTGCAGCAGTTTAAAACATATGAAACTCTGAAACCACTTTTATGGACAGTAATTTTTGATTAGCTTTTTTGACATAAAAAGTTGCAAATGTAGAAAAAATTAATAAAATTATATCTTTTATAATTCTTTGTTAAATAATTCATAACAATAAGTATAAATAATTATATTTTTCACAAAAAACTTCTTTTCATTCCCTAATTATTCTTTTATACCAGAAACGTTTTTGCGCATAATAATTATTCTTTTATGCCAAAAATTATTCTCTAGAGGTTGAAAGAATTTACAGAACAACTCATTATTAGTATTAGCAAACAAGCTTTTTTTTTTAGAATTTACAGAACAACTCTTTATCAGTATTAACAAACAAGCTGTTTTCTTAGAATTATCTTAATCTCTTCATTGTGTTTTGCTACTGTTTTTTAATTTTAATTTTGAACAAATAAATTGCAACCAGAAATTTATGGTCTTGCACTAACCTCTACTCTGATTTTGTGCTAATCCCCATACACTCTGATTTAAATAGTGAAAAAAAAGGAACAAATAATTTTTAAGATTTTAAATATAGAATGAAAAAAATTGTTTTTTTTTAGTAGTTTTTTTAGTATATAAAATAACAACAATTTCTTGTTAATTTCTCTGCAAATGTGATTATTTCAAGTTTTCAAAATTATTAATACAATTTTTATTTTAATTTTTAATGGGTAAAATTATATAAAACTAAAAAAATGAAACAAATAAGTACAAGTCTTTTGAAAGACTTTTAAAATTTTTTAACAACTAAAGTTAAATATAGGAAATTTAGATTAACATCAATTAATAATTCATTTAGTAATTTTTAGAAATGTTTAAAAACATGATTAAATCATACATGATTAAAAAAAGCTTTGTACAACTATAGACCAATTTTTTTTAAATTTTCAAGTTTTATTCTATTTAAGTTTTGTCAAGAATTTTTTTACATATACTCTAGGTTCCAAAATACTAAAAAATTCTTAAATTGATCTGCATTAGGAAAACTTAAAAAAATTATTTTTCAAATTGACTTTCTTATCAAAAAAATGTTTTTTTTTTTTTTTTAGTCGGCAAAATGTAATGGCACCCCCTCACATGACACCAACTCGCGCCGGCCCTGATCACTGTTATATTTACTGAAAATTTTTCAATGTAAAACTTTATAATATTATAAAATATTTAATTTAATGAAAAATACTTTTATAGTAACAACTCATCATTAAAGCTGTTTTCCCAAGCTGACATTGGTGATCAATATTGCTTCTTCGTAATAACAAACGAAAAGCATCAAAATTATTCCTTAATACACACTTTTGCAATGGTGATACACCTGTGTCATCTACCCCATTGGCATCAAATCCACGATCTAATAATGCTATAACTTCTTCTATGTTTCCGACTATTATTGCTTGATGCAAGAGATGATTTTGACAGAACTATAAAAAAATGTTGAAAATATTTTCCCACAAATTAAATTCTTATATTAAACAAAAATGAAAAAAAGATAAGTTTACATGACGCCTTGTATCTACAAGTACTTCTGTTTCAGCCTCTTCACTAAGTTTCAATCTAAAAGTAAAAACCTTACATTAAAGAAATTAAATCTTACATTACAGAGATAAAAACCTTACATTACAGAGATAAAAACTTTACATTTTAGAGATTAAATTTATAATTAAACCTTAAAATTTTAATGAAATAATTGTATTTAAAAGAGTATTTAAAAAAAATAAATAAAAAGCAAACAATATTTACAAAGCTTAACAAAGTAAGATCTTATCAAATAAAGTCTAAAGAAGTTATATAACTTAAAAATTAAATTAATCTTCTTTTGACTTTTTGGTTCTGAGCCTATTTAAACCACCAAAACAGCATTGCTAAGACCTGTTATCAGTAAAAACCTTTTCACATCAAAAAGCTTTTATTTGAAAAAAAAATCTAAACAAATATTTGTATTGAAATACATTCAAAACGTCTTAACCAACTTTTATTATGAGAAAATTTCTGCTGTATTTAAAAAAATACCTGACAAATCAATTGTACTCTTTCACAGATATGTTCATTTTATTAAAAAGAAGATTTGTTTCTTATAGTGTTAATAGCCTTTGTTGATATATAATTACATTGTATAAAAACTTCCTTTTATTTTCCCTCAACCTTTCTTATTTACCATTTTTTCTGTACATTCAGAACTTTAAATCTTATTATTTCAATTTTTCTCATAATTTATTCCAGCCTAGTAAAATAGAGCTTTAGCATATGACATGGTTGAAGTTTTGACAAAAATTCTAGAAATTCTTTATAAACCTTTTTGTATTGTTTAACCATACAAAAGTAAAACTAACAGTATTTATTTTTAATTGGGTAAATTAGAAAAAGATATGCCAAGCAATATAACAATAAAATTTATCTAAAAAAATTTTATTTCTTAAAAGTAATTCATTCAATTGTATAACTTTTTAATAAAAATTTAGCACTAGAGACTTTTCATATCTTTTAATCAGTAGTGCAATTAAACAAAAATAATGTTTCTGTTAAACAAAAAAAATTTTTGTAAAGAGAAAATTAAGGTTATGTTGTTAACAATTATCATTGTCTTGTGTCTTTTTAAATAGGTTATATTTACAAGAAGTAGAAAGTAAAAAAAACAAACATCCCAAATAAAGGAAGAACCTTTTATTTGGGACCTTCATTTAGGTTTTATTAATAACCCTTTATTTATTTAAAAAATTTCAGATTCATTCAGATTTTAAGTTTTGAAAAAAATTTTTTTTTGAGTATCTAAATAAACTGGAAAAACAAACTGTTTACAAATTGGAAAATGGTCATATCTCCAGTTACAAAACTGGCCAGTCAACTAACATTTTTAGCAACCATGTTTATGATTGTCAAAGAATATATAATAAATCTATGGAGGCTTTTTTTCCAACTTTTTATTTTTCTGGAATTAATAATGTAAAGAATTTATTATCTCAAGAAAAATCATTTATACAGACAAAAACATGCCTTTAATACTTCCTATATAAGAATACAGGAAAGTGTAACTTTTAGCAACATAAACATTTCCTCTTTACAAAAATAAAAACTTTTTAATAGTAATTTTTTTTTTGTATAATAGCACTACTGATGAAACTATGAAAGGGCTCTAATGCTAGCATTATTTTAATAAAATTTCTACAACTGAATAAATAATTTTAAAGAAATTAATGTTGTTATCTTAATAAACAAACCAAGAAATAAAACAGGACAAAACAATTTAAACTTTAAACTGAAAAAAACCTAGATATGAGTTAAGTTAAAAGAAATTTTTTTCTTTCTGTAATGATTAAAAAATTTGTTTCTGATTTGGTCACCAAATCACAATATTAGTTTTATTGTGATTTAGTTCATCTGTTCAATTAAAGATTTGAAATAAATGAAAAAAAAATCAAAATTATGCGTAAAAATCCAGAAATAAGAAAATCTGGAAAATTGGTAAAAATGGAAAATCAGTATTTCAAATAATCTTTCAAATGTTTTCCAGAACTCTGAAATCCTAATTTAGATATAGCACGACTCTTTTAGTATTTGATATTAATAGTATTTCAAAAATAGGAAGCTTTTTATGAAGCTTCCTATTTTTGAAATACTATTAATATCAAAATAGTTTTTTATAATTTGTTATTAATTTGCATTCAAAAAAAAACTTAAAAGGGTGATACAGATAATATTAAAATTACACTTATGTACCTGTTGAGTAAAACAGTTAAATAAATATAGTAATCAGTGGTGTCTACTTAATGAATTTATAAAAACTGGATTTAAAAATTTAAAAACAAGGCAAAAAAGAAAAGGATAAGATCAGTTAAGAAATTATTTTGCAGAAAAACAACAGAGTCTCATTTTTTTATTTTTATTCTGATTCAGTCCAACAAGACTGCAAGCAACCACTGTTAAGTTGGGAGTTACTAGAAAAAAAAAAAAAAAAAAAAAAATAGAGTTATAGAGCAAGGAAACAGTTGACAGAAGACTTGAAAAGTTGAAGGTTGTATGAGTCAAGAAAACATGAAGAAGGGAGAAAGTTCCAAAGAGTTGAAGTGCAAAGAAAAAAACCAGACAAATAAAAGTTTTTAAAACATGCAAAGACAGATACAGTGAAAGAATGGATTTTGCTGAATGACAAGTCAAGGGGGAATGAGTTTCAGTTGATGGAACTGAAACCATCCATTGAGCAGTGACCATGATAGAACTTTTAAAAAAGAGAAAAAGATGCAATTTTACAATAATGGGAAAGAGACTCAAGCAGATAGAGTGGGTCCATAATGAGACATAGCAGATAGAGTGAGCCCAACTCTGTTTACAATGCATTTTTGGACCTCGTTAGGAAGAGAAAGATCATCATTAGAAGAACCAGTCTAAATATGACAACAGTATTCCATACAGGGACGAATAAGTGATTTGTAGGGTTAGTTAATGGAATCAGGGGTGAGAAAATGACAAGCACGATAAAAAGAAGTAATCTTAGCAGATGCTAATTTAGCAATCAATTTTATATGTAGTTTCCATAAAAGGTCAGTAGTAAACAATAATCCAAGAAGACGAAAAGAAGAGGACTCAGTGAGAGGGTTGCCATTCATTAATATAGGAATATCAACGGTACTGAGATAGTTGTTTGCAGTAAATAACTTTTGCTGGAGTTAAAATATAAAAGCCATTGTGAGCCCTAATCCGTTACAGAAGTGATATCTGATTCAAGACGAACTGCCTGTTCTAAGCAATCTAAAAGAGAAGAATTTGTGTCAAGACAGAAGTATAAAGTTGAGGCATCAGCAAAAAGAGTTACTTTAGATGTAAGGTTGTCAGGAAGACTATTAATGTAGATAGAAAAAAAAATAGGACCAAGAAGTTACTAAAAATGACGAAGAGTGTTGACCTTCGAGAATGATTTAATAAAGCGGTTAGAAAGAAATGATTTGATAACCTTAAAAACTTTCCCAGAGACACCATATGAAAAAAGTCTTATGAAGAAGACCAGCATGCAAACATTGTCGAAAGCCTTAGATATGTCAAGAGCAATAGCCCTAGCCATTTCCAGCAGGCAGGAAAACTCTTAACTGTTTAATAAGTCAAGCACTTATTAAATAGTTTAGAGAGAATTGAAGAGAGTTCTAGAGAACATTTTTGTAAGACTATGACAGGTATATTGCATGGACCACAAGCAGTAGAAGAGTTTAATTGAGAAATGACTTTAGCAATGGAAGCTGGAGTGGTTTGAATCTTTAACAATGGGTTAGCCTGTTTAATTGGAATGGAATAAAGAGAATAGCCATAAGATTTAAGAGTCGAATTAGAAGAAAAGTTCTTTGCAAATAGTTCTGTATTATCCTTGGGAAAGGTAATAAGAATTGTACCATGAGAGATGAAATGTTAGACTTACCCTTGTTAATGAAGATTTTCTAAAAGTCTCTAAAGCCTAACTTCTGATGCAAGATTTAGTGAACTGCTTAGTGACCTTAGACTTAATTTATTTAGTGAACTGCTTAGTGACCTTAGACTTAATTTATTTCACATATTAGTATGTGAAATAATTTTTTAGGCATGATATCTTTGTAGATTGAAAAAAATTAATTTGTAAACAAAAAAAGTTCAATTTTTTTATAAATTGAACTTTAATATTTTGAGTTAAAGCTCTGCTTTAATAACTGATGTACAATTAGAATGTAAAAAACTCTAACTTACTTTTTGGCTGAACTATACCCTTCAAGACTGTAATCATCAACTCCAAATGATGAATGTGGAGGTGATAACCTAAAAAAAATAAATAATATAATTGAAAAAATAAAATTAAAAAAAAAAAAAAAGCATAAACTTACCCTATTTCCTCTCCACCATCAGCTTCACCTCTTTCGCTGACATTTGGTCGATCTTGGTTAAATTTCCATAATCGAAATCGCATCTTTTTACCACCTACAACTACTATAACAAGCACCAATGTGATTATTGTGACAATTATAACGCTGTGAGTAATTGAAGAGGTATTTGGGGAGAGTTTACTGTCTAAATAGTTTTATAAACAAAAATTTTATTATAAAATAATTTTATTTTTATTTAATTATAACAAAAAAATTTTTAATTATATTTTATCAACAATTTTTGAAATTTTTTTTTTTTTTATGGTCACATATTTTAAATAAATATCACTGTTAATTAAGTAAATTTTTAGATGACTCTTGCAGTTGCTTTGAGGTATAATCTATAAAATAATATTTAACTCACCTGAAACTGAATAAATTGGAAACACAAGATCAAGGTTTTTCTTTTGAGCACGAGCCCCAAGATAGCTTGCAGCCTAAATGTATTGCATAATTTTAATTTTTATTTAATCATAAATTTTTTTAAAAGATAATATTTCTTTTATTTTTATAAATAAAAAAAGAAAAAGAAAAAAAAAAGCATAATAAAGATACAGTTAAAAAAATTTAATTTAGTCTAAAGTTCAAGTGAAAAAGTACATTTAAAAAATTTAAAGAATAGATATGGCTGATAATTGAGGATAGATATGAAATTTCTTTAGCAAAAATATCTTTTTTAGACATAATTCCATACAAAATTAATTCTTCAGTTATCACAACTGTTTTTCATAAAAAAAACCTATTCTAGTCTTCATACTAATTTTTATAGTTTCACTACATTTTCGTACAGAGTTAGTCTAATCAAATGCTTAATTGATAGAACAATTAAAATTAATAACAATAATTGGGTTTCACTCTGACATACCTAACAACCTAAAGTATTTCAAAGGAATATGTACCGTCTAACTTTCCTATTTCCAATTAAATAAGATTAACACAAATACTCTACCACAACCAAAAGTTAAAACTTGACTTATTTTAAATTAACATTTTTGGAAAAATATCTGATTCAACTAAAAAAGAACTGAATTTAATTCATAAAAGATATATTGCCGTTCTGCAAATAATAAACTAGTATTTACCTCACTAAAAACTTCTACATTTTTTTTTGTTCTAAAGATCCTATTTCTCTAGAGTTTAAATTGTTCATGGTCTACAAATTCGTATATGCAGGAGGTTAATCTTGTTATATAGGTGAATCTACTTGCCATCTCAAGTTGCAGATATCTAAACATTATCTATAAGCATCTCCATACTAAATAAAAGTGTTTCATGCAAATTAATGATAAGTGTTTTTCTGCTTTAGATTCAACATCTAATAAATTAAACTTAAAATAAGTATGTTCATAGAATGGTTAAAACCTGGTGTGAGTAAACAGGTTAACCATGTCCAAATGAAATTTTCTGCTAATCTACTACTTTCTATACATACTGGTATCTTTTTAACCTATTTATTTGTTATTTCCTATTTCTTTAGTTTAAGATTTTCAATTAATTTTATTGTACTTTTGTAATTATATTATTATAAGTTTGTACAAGAATAACATTGTGTATTGGTTAATTTGAACCAACTAGTTAAAATAGTAATTAAAAAAAAACTTACAACTTTAGGTGAGTCAAAGCATAGCTCTGTGCAAAGAGAGTTATCCATCTTTAAAGTTATAGTAGTAAAACTAAAAAGAATATGCACTTTAAAAATCTTAAAAAAGAATAGAAAATTTTATTGAAACTAGTTCAAATTGAATTTAAAGCACTCAAACTAGCTTCCAAAAAAACCTGATTTCTTGTTTTTCTAAACTATTTGGTGAAATAAAAAATGCATTCAAATTCTTTTGTAATCTTTGAACATTCAAAAATAAAACCGGTTTTAAATATAAGCAAAACATGTTAGGAATTAAATCGAGAGAAATTTGGTTTTAATACTTCCAATTGAGATTAAAAATTTTTTTTACTCTTGGTTCAAGTAAGCTGAAACAAAAATAAATATGATAAACCGACATCTCTATATATTATTGCCGAACTTAATCCTTTTAGTAGTAGTAGTAGTAGTGTTAGTGCTCATTCGAGCGTGTTTGATATAGAACACTTGGCAGCCATTGGAACCGATGTAGTGTCGCAAAAGAGTCACAGAATTTTATTTTATAAGAAAACGTGAACAAACGTGGATGCAAATACATAACGTGCATAAACTTTACATTAAGTAATGCTAAAACATACTGAAACATTTATCAAGTTTACAGTTTGATTTTCACTTGAAAATTGCATTGCGTCAAGCTCTCCTTAATTTTGATCTATAACATTTGTTTCCCCATGAAAAAATTATTATATAGTTTTAAAAATTTACGTTTAACAATGTGCCAGCGCGGCCGAGTGGATAGCACACCGAGCTTCTGAACAAGTTCGCCGTGGTGTGAGTCCTATCACTTGCAACTTTTTTTTAAATTTTTTTTCGATTATTTTAAAATAAAAAATACTTTTGAAGTTTCATAGAGATTATATTCAAACATATGTAATAATGTTATACACTTTGACAAAGGAAAAGATTTTAAAAAAGCTAAAATTTCTAAAAATATCAAAACACCGGGAGAAAAAATTTGTTGCGCATGTGTCATGATTGAGATACTTATGTTATTAATGCGCTAATTAGTCCTAATAAGCTGCGGATGGTCTGAAAAAAAAAGTTTCCGGAAACCTAATAAAGAAATACTTATAAGACAATTTTGCTTCTCTAGAAGGTGCTGTTGTGGAGGTAAAAAAAAAAAAAAAAAAACTTGTAGGTAGAAAAAAACTTAAAGCTTTCTTTAGACAATTAAAATTTTTTTTTGCTACATTTATTTTATTACTATAAATATGCGCTTAAAAAGTGCGCCTAAAAAGTTTTAAGTATAGTGAATTGGTGTGTTTAATATTGTGTTTAATATATTTTTAATCATTATCATAAGAATAAACTTTTTTTTAATGAGTTTATTCTTAGTCTAAGATCTTTTTAGTTCAATTTGTATAGCGTTACTTGCAAATGTCTGCAAGTGTAAACATACAAACGTCTGTAAGTGTACAACGTAGACTTACAGATACAAGTGTACGTACAATCGTCTGTAAGTGTTAACGCTTTGAGCATATGTTGAGTTTGAAAGCATTATATGGAATAATCGCGTATAATATATCTATAAAATAAGAAAACTTAATATTTTATTTTGAAAATCTTTTTAGCTATTTTACTATTTTTTTGCTATAAATATATAAACAAGATTTAAAAAATTTCAAAATTTATTACACAAAGAAGTCTTAAACCCCCAAAATAAAACTGATGACAGCGTACTTAACCACTATCAATAGAGCTATCAATAAAATGCATTTAGCAGAAAAACAAACCTCTCTTATAAGCTCTACATATGCCGAAAAGGTCTGCATGCTATGTTTTTTGCTCTTATAGTTTTTTTTTAGAATAAATTTTTTTACTAAAAAATATTGAAGTAGATAAGGAATAGGTATAGAAATAATTAGTGTGGAATAGAAATGTAAATTAGTAAAAACCTGTCTTTTTATATATCCGGGAAGCTAGGATATATAAGGAAAAAGTATAGAAAAGTTCGGTTTGGAATAGACTTACAAAGACCCGTATTTTTACAGGTATAATCTCAGCAAGTACATGAAAAATACTGTAATATTTAAAATTAGAACAAAAAATTAAACATATAAATTAGTAATTAAATTATTTCCCCCCTATACTTTTTTGCAAGCTACACATCTTTTTCGCATCAATTTAACATCAATGTTTCAAAATTTTCTAGCCTAAATAGATTTAATTGGATTAAAATCTCATAATTAAGCTGGCCAGATGCAATTAACATTTTTTTATTTCATCTACGCTTTGACTGTACAAAGTGTTAGCAGACCCAATATTTAGTTGAAACTGCCACCATTTCTTTTGATTAATCAGCATGTCTATTAATGTAGGTTTGCAGTTCTCTAGCATCTCTATATAGATGTGCTGGATTGTTCAGTCTGTATAAATGTTACTAACACTTGATTAGTTGAAATTAAAGCAGCTCTAAATAACAAAACTCCTTTTAGCAATTTCAGTAAAACATACTAATACTTATACTTTAATATACTTTTTCAGATTCTTTTAACAAAAACTTTTTCTATTTATAATTTCTAACTTACTTTTATCACTGAAAGTTAATTGTTTCTACTTTTCCAAGACCACTCAATTTTGTTCTTGTTCCACTTTAATGTTTTTTCTAAGCAAAAGGTTTCTGATTCTATTTAAAGACATTTTTCACTGTTTTTGTTGAATATGTTGGTAAGTTTACAATAGCTTATTAGGATTAGGCAATTTATAAGACTTTGTAGCTTTTTTTAATATTCTGGAATGAAGTTGTATGGCACCAGTTGTTTTGACAGGTAACATTTAGGACTTTAAAGCAAAAAAATCAAAAAAAAAAATTTTAATTAAAAAGAAAAAGTTTATGTTTAATTTGGAAAGTAGAAACTTGCTATTTGGAAAGTAGAAACTCACTATTTCCACAAATTTAAATTGTTCTCCATTAGATGCCTCTAAATTTTCTTAATTGTGATATGTCCATATTAATAGAGCTTTTTTAAACATTAATTAATTTTTATTTTGAACTCATTATTCTGCACATTTTCAACTGTCCAAAACAAAAAATATTGTCTTGTAGATGGCAACATATTAAAAGTTGCCAGTAATGTTAGTTTTGCACATATTAAAAGTTGCCAGTAATGTTAGTTTTGCACATATCAAAAGTTGCCAGTAATGTTAGTTTTGTACATATTATAAGTTGCCAGTAATATTAGTTTTGCACATATTAAAAGTTGCCAGAAATGTTAGTTTTACACAGGGGTGTGGAGTCGTAAAAAAAAAGTAACGACACCGACTCCAGTTGTTGAATTTTTTTGAGTACAACTCCGACTCTGACTCCGACACCAACTCCAGAACAAAATTTTTGAAAAATTTTTTGAATTTTTTAAAAAATATTGCGAGATAAGTTGAAGTTTTTTTTTTGACAAATCTATGCAATGTTCTTTGAGGTTTAGTATGAACATTAGGTTAATTGAATGTTTTGTACATAAACATGCAACACCAAGAAATATTACTATCGGAGTCGGAGTCGCAATATTTTTTAGCGACTCCGACTCCGCTTTAATCGTTGCAAGTTCGCAACTCCGACTCCACAGCCCTGGTTTTACACATATTAAAGACACAGAAAAGTTATTTGACACACCATAAATTGACTTATAAATTTATCTTTAAAAAAAAAACACCGAATTGAAAATAGAACTTTTATTGTTTTTTTTTATTAAAGTCAATAATTGTGACAATACTATGATTAAAATTGAGGTAAATTAAATATGGCATAAAAGATAAATAACAGCAATATACAGATTATTTGTTTGGCTTATTAAACTGTCACATGTAAAATACTGCTGAGGTGAAAACTATTACAAAATAAGCCATGTTAAAAAGTAAAAGACAAAAATCAAAAAAATAAGTTATATTTTATCAAAACTAAACCAATATTATTGACTTAAATAGAAATATAATAATAATATTACAAATATCACATTTCTAAAAAAAAGACAAAAACAGACTTTGAAATTATTTAATATTTATATAATTATAAGGTGTATATCTTTAATTGTCAGATGTAAATTTTAACTTAATCTTTTTACAACTTAAAACAGTAAGACCACTTTTTGAAAACAAAAATGTAGTTATAAATTATAAAATGAAAACATATAAAATAAGTAATTATAATTGTAATTATTAAAAATTATATTCAGTAATAAAAGTATAAAAATTTAAAATTGAATGACACAATAAATAAATTTACTTTCAATTTTTTTTTTTATAAAAATATTCAGTTTACTTCAATTTACTTTCAAATGTTTCATAACTTTAAAACATATAAAGGGTTATAACTAATTAAATTTCTATCGTTAAATAAAAGATAGATAAAAAACTGAAGAATAAATAATTAACTAAAAAATTTAACAATGTCATTAAAGTACTTTTGATTTTCATCTGGTTGTCATGGGCACCAGAAAAAACATCTGGTCATGATTTAATGTAAAAAAATTTCAAAATACTTACGCACTGTCAGATGATGATCGTCTAAATTTGCTAGAAGTTTCTACAGTAACAATTGTTAAAATTGTATTTAGTATAATGCTCAGATTTCGAAGCAGTTGAACTTGGTTTGCCTCAAACTCGCTACGCCCAGAGCGTAATTTGATTACTAAAAATCCTTGTACCTATTTGTAAAAGAAAGAAATATATCAGTAAAGAGTTTGTTTATAAAAACATTTTATTGCCCCTACACTTATTAAAACAAAAGTTTATTATTACAATTTCCAACTCAAATACATTAACATTATTTTTATGGAAATATATATTTTTTTTAAATAAAAGTTTTGAAACTTTTTTTATGTTTTTTCACTTTTACAAGAAAAATGCAAGCAAAGATTAGGTAGTGGTTGAAAAAGCTTCATTAAGCATTAAGCAACTTTATCATAACACAAATACTTTTGGTTGGTGAATTTTAGTATTAGGGTAATCTATTGCTTCCTTTGGAGTCAACCAAAAGAAGCAATAGATTATTTTTATGGTTTCATGTTGCAAACAATGTTTAATAATACATTATTAAATGGTGTTAATGGTAATACTAATAGTCATAATAATACTAGTAGTAAAAATAACTATCATTAAAAAAACATATAATAAAAAATATTCTAATGTAATATTATGTTTATTACTAAACATATAAAGAATTGATGTTGGGAATAAGTTAAAATAATATTTCTTTTAAAAGAGAAAAACATATTATTTACCAGTTTTGGTGGTGTATTCATGCTACATTCTTTATTGTCATGGCCACAGGCAACTGTGTCACAGTGGCGATCACAGATACGATTGCCAAACTTTTTAGCACAATCACTAGGGCATTCATCAATCTTTGGTCGACAATCATTTCCATCAAACAAACAATGCATATTATTGCATTCGCGATCACAAACACCATTTCCAAAATGTTTCCAACACTGATTTTTTTGTGATTTACACTGAATCCAAGGATCAACACCCAGTGTGCAATCAGTTCCATCCCAATTACATTGTGGATTATCACATTTTGGATTGCAAACACCACCATCGAATTTTGAATGACATTCTTCAAATGGACATTTAGTCACATTTGACAAAAGACTAATTGAGCAATTCTCTCCAATAAAGTTTTCTAAATAAATATATGGCTACTAGTTTTCTAAATAAATATATGGCTATTAGTTTTGCAACATGAAAAAATCATCATGATGATTTTTTCATGTTGCAAAAATTAATTTAAAATTTTAACTAAAAAAAAACAATCTCACAAAACAAATTAATAAGTCTTTTAAAATAATAAAAATTGTGATTCCAATATATTAAAAATATCTTTATTTTATTTTAAATATCTTTGTCATCTCCACAAGATCAGAATGAGCTCAACTTAAAAAACTGTAAACTGCATAACTTGTAATTGAGTTAGAAAAACATGAAGATGGGAAAGAACTCTAAAATGTTGTTGTGTAAGGAAAATAATTATATAAATGTTTTTAGAGCATAAAAGAAAAAATATAGTAAAAAGGTGCTGAGTGACAAGTCATGCAAGAAATTTAGTTGATTAAATAAAAGATGTAGTTGCTTAATTGAGCAGCTACCATAATAGTATTTATAAAAAAAAAAAAAATGAAGGTAACATGTTTAATGCCATGTTAGTTGTAACTATTATTTGTTAAGTTATTCCATTTTGTTTACATTATTTGTTGAACTTCACCATTTTATTTATATTATTTGTTAAACTTCTCTTTTTTATTTGGAGCAAAAATATAATTAAGATTCAGTTGAGGAAATCTTTTAACAAAAAAGTTTTTAACTAAGGATCAAAAAAATTAAAGAGTTTAAATAAAATGTTGTTTCAATTAAATCTTATTATTTCAGTAAAATCTTAAAGATCCAAATCACTCCGTTGCTAAAGACATCTCTTAATCAAACTCTTTAACAGCTTGTGGTCCATTATGCTTTAACAGCTTGTGGTCCATTATGTTTTAACAGCTTGTGGTCCATTATGTTTTTGAAGTAGTATAAAAAATCAATCTACAGTAAATAAAATTATTCATAATAAAAATTTGCCTGAAATTTCTGTTTCAATCAATCTAAAAATGAAAACTACTGCTAAAATAAAATCAACAGGTTAACATGAGATAATTCTTAGATTTTCAATGTCTAAAATAAATTATTTATATATTATAGTTATATAATAATGTTTGATATTAAAAATATTAAAATATTCAAAACAAGTTATATTAGTGTAAACAAACTATAAAAATGATGTTTAATAAAAAGAAAAGTGGTTTTTCTAGAATTATGCTGACTATCTAAGAAAAGTGGCATTTTTAGAATTATGTTCAACAATCTAAAAAAAGTGGGTTTTTCAGAATTATGCTCAACACTCTAAGGAGAATTAGTAGAATTATGCTCAACACTCTAAGGAGAATTAGTAGAATTATGCTCAACACTCTAAGGAGAATTAGTAGAATTATGCTCAACACTCTAAGGAGAATTAGTAGAATTATGCTCAACACTCTAAGGAGAATTAGTAGAATTATGCTCAACACTCTAAGAAGAATTAGTAGAATTATGCTCAACACTCTAAGGAGAATTAGTAGAATTATGCTAAACATACAATAGAATCACAAAAGGAAAACTCCCAACAAATCTAACTTCACTAACTTTAGCTTCAACTATTTAATAAGCAAGAAATTTTAAAGTATAATTAAAAAAAAAATGTAATCAGTGTACATTTAAAAAATATTACCATCATTGCATTTACATGAAAATCCATTGTCTTTTTCAATACAAGTGCCATGAGGACAACTAGTATTTGTGCAATAGGTTATTTTTTTATCGCAAAAGGGGCCTAAATATGTCAAAAACAAAGTAAATCTACAATACATAAAACATAAGTTATTACGAGTAAAACAATATTCAATATTTGCTTAAATTGATGTTAAAAACCATAAATTTCTTTAATAGATTAGATTGATATGAAAACTTTTTTTATCACTTTTAATTGAATTTCAATGAAACTATGCTCCTATAAAATATATTAGGCTAGATTCAATAAAAATAAGAATTTTATTGCTTATTATACTTAAAGCTTATCCAACAGTTATAATACTTAGTTAATTATAGTTAGTTAACAAGTTACTATACTTAGAGTTTACACAACAAAATATTCCAACAACTGAAAGATTAACAGATTTAAAAAGATAAAGGTGTTTTAGAAAAAAGTGTTTTACTATTTAAAAAATAGGAATACAGGAACAATACCATTCTAAGCTTTTTATAAAAAAGTTTATTATAAATAGAAACTATGAATTTTAAATATTTAACTTGTTGCCTAGTAACAAACCTACCTGTGTATGAGGAATTACAAACACATTCATAACCATTTTTTGTGCTTTCGCAGCGTCCATGTAAGCCACAAAAAATTTTTGTACATTCATTGATCTTTAAAAAAACATACATTTAAACCCTTATATTATATAATAAACTAATACTGATTTAAAATTTTTTTGAATAAAAAATATTTCTAGGGGTTGCACAACTCTTTAACATCAGATAGGTCCCTAAAAAAAATTTCATATTTGTAAAAGTATGTCATTTTGAGTCTCAAATTAAAGCGAAATTATAAAAATTTCAAAAAAATGGATCATTTTAAGAATAAATTATTATTTTAAATTTTAGTGAATGGCATCATTGGCACCAGAAAAAATATCTGAAGGCAATTCAATGTAAAAAACCAAAACATTTAAAAACAGAAAAATTACTTACGCATTTTCAGATAAAAAAACATATTTTAACTAAGGGAATTCAACAAGACTTTTTTTATAATTTTTTTTTCAATGTTTTTTATAATAATGATCCTTATTTTTGAAATCTCAAGAACTCAGATCTCTGGAAAATAAAGATTTCTTTAGATTGGTTATGGGGAGCTGGTACTTGCAGTTTTGCATTGTGAAAACCTTTTGAAACTTAAACTAATCTTTTACTTAATCTATCTTTAGATGAAAAAGTAAAGGATGTTTTTTCAAATATGTAATATATTTTTAAAAATGTTTATCTTGCAATAAGAAAAGATTTCATACAAATGGACATTTTTTTAGTTCTAGAACCAGACAATCAACATATAGATTTAATAACTATATTTATAATTGCCAACATGCACATAATACAAATATAAAACCTTTATTCCAACTTTTTTGTTTGTTTTTTCAACTCAAAAATAAAAAAAAATTAATTTCCTGTGAAAAACATCTACACATTAGATTTTTAATTGATATTTAATTGAACTCAATTAAATTCAAATAAAAAATTGCCAATAATAGCTATAAAGATTGGATAATTATCAAACCTGTTTAAAAATAGGAAAATATTATTTTGATAATAAAAATAGCACTACAAATGATTTTAGCCTCTAGTGCTAAAAAATATTAAACTTAAATTTAGTGTATCTTCATCTAATATACCTAATAGTAACAATAAAAGAAATAAATATTTCATATGCAGTGTTTATTTTTTTAACTACTATATATACATATATACATATATACATATAAAATTACATACATATATACATATAAAATTACATACATATATAATTATATAATTATACATAAAGTTATATACATATATACATATATAATTATAAAAAAATAAACTCTTTATAAGATGTCATTTAAAGTTTGTAACAATGTATTTTGATGTTTTTTTGATAAAATCAATCAATATAACATAACAAAAAACAAAAAAATTATAATATCAAAAGTAGCGCTATATAAAATAAAATTTAATGTGTACTTTTTTTTAGCTTAAAATTTCTTGCTTTCTAATTTTGTAAAAAAATTTGGTAATTGTTTTTGTTATTGCTTGTTAAGAAAAATTGCCTTAATATTCTTACTCTTGCAAGATAAATAAAAGTTTTTTTAATGTTTCTTTTATGATTTCATTTTTTAAGTGTCATATAACATCTTTTTTCTTTCTTTTGCTGAGCATTTTTGATGGAAAAGTTAGAACAGTAAAAATAAATTTTTCTTTGTTTTTTCATAAATTATACATTTGTAAAAAGTGCGAGTATCAAACGTAATTTTCATGCAAATTTTTATCGTCATTCAAACTTTATAAGGGGTTAAGCTTGTAGATTAGTATAGCTAGGTTAAAATAAGTCATCACTCCATGTTAATATATGATTACACTTCATGTTAATATATGATGCATCCAATCATCCAAAAATAGGGAAGTTAGAAATGCTTTTTGAGTTGTATATTATAATAGCTTTATCCTTGTATATAATTGTTTATAAATGTTAATTACTTTTTTTATCTTACTGCTTAAATGATATCTTCAGACTTGTTAAATTATTAAAAAATGATAAAAAGTGGCTCAACCCAAATAAGCGAAATTGACCACTTACGTTAAATGGCTATAATGTCTATAAATGGCAGGCCAGTTTACACTTTAAAAAAAAAGCCTGTAATATATGCTACATTTCCAGTTAAACCAAGCAAGTTCTGCATTTTTTGTTAACAGTTATAATCAAAAAATCTGATTGTTAATCAGATGTTAATGTTGCTTCATTAAATGTTAATGTTGTTTCATAGTCCAATAGTTTTTTTTGCAGAAATCAGAATAGTGTTGCCTGTAATTTTTGACACCCTGCAGTAACCATTATATTTATTACAGATTACTGGTTATGATTGTGGAAAATTCTGAAATCAGTTTCAATCTTCTCTCTGATGTTTTTTTTACAACTTTTACCTTATGAACAAATTGTTCAGCTTCTGTTCATTCTAAAAATTTTGGTCGTCATCCTCTAATCATAAGGCAATTGTTTAGAAAAAAGGAAAAACTTTTCACTTAAGTGTTACATGCCATCCTAGCTTTGTGGATAGATCCTGTTTAAGAAAGTGCACACCCTGAAGTGGAGTTTGCCCAATGATGATAAATGTATTTCTGGCACATTCACGGTTATAATATATTCACCTCTTTCCAAGAGATGACTAACTCACATTAGTCATCTCTTGGAGATGTTGTAGCATCTTCATTAGTAAGTAGATGTGTCAAATGCTGTATGATCTGTTCTTTGAGGTTTTGCAACCAGGTGCCTTCAACAGCTAATGTTTGGATTGGCAAATGTTTATTCAATGTTGGCCAGGCAGTTTTAAATTCAGCAAAGAATTTATTCTCTGAACCAAAAATGTTTCCAATTAACTAATTCAAAACTGCTCTGACAAAGATTTCAAAAATGTGGTGCTGATAGGCAAGGTAAAGAAGTTTTTGACCTGATTTTTTTTTCCAATCAATTTAGCAGTACCATTAAGATGCCACTAATTCTGGCAGTGGTATCAAATACCAATGCCACAATATTCTTGCTAAGATCCCAAGCTTCTAAAAAATTCAATATTGCATTTACAGCAGATACATTCATAAATGTTGTATTATGAGACAATTTTAGCCTGTCTGCAGTAGAAGTGATTTCATTGCATTGAATACTTCTTTTGAAGAGGTGAAGAGTAACAAACTATGATTGTATTTCCATAGGAGGTTTATAATTCAAGTCACAGCCCTACCCTAAACTGACATCTACATCAGCAATATCAATATTTTCCTCAATACTCTGTTCTTTGTCATTAACTTCCATGTTCTCATCATCATAATCATCCGCCTACCTTCTTTTTCTTCTATTTCATTTTCTTAATAGCTGAGTATATTCTTTATAGTTTCTTCATAGCTATAGCTTCATTTTCTTTATAGCTAAGTATAATGGATTTCATGATTTCCTGAATGGTATCAGGTGATCCAATATCAAAAAAGACAAAGTTGGTAAAATATATATATTATATATATATATATATATATATATATATATATATATATATATATATATATATATATATATATATATATATATATATATATATATATATATATTTAAACAATTTAAAATGTATTCCACAAAATTTATATATATGCTATAAAACTTATATATACAAATAGTATTGCGTACTAAGGTAAGCAATCTGACGTCATACTGAAATAGCCTGCTGCTGGGGGCTTCAGTACATACATTGACTGACAAATAGCCTGACTCGCAGTGGAGTGTTGCTACACTGACTGAGGGTTTGGGATGGGGAAGAAATTGTTTTATTCATCATTCTTCATTTTTTCTTCTTCTTTTTCGAAAAAAAAGGTATAGCTCAAGGTAAGCAGAAAAAGTGAGCAAATGCTTATTAAAACACGCTTTAGTAAGCGTGTATATATATATATATATATATATATATATATATATATATATATATATATATATATATACATACATATATATATATATATATATATATATATATATATATATATATATATATATATATATATATATATATATATATACATACATATATATATATATATATATATATATATATATATATATATATATATATATAACATATATATATATATATATATATATATATATATATATATATATATATATTAGAGTGCCTCTAAAAACAACATTTTTTGTAATTGCTTGCTGCCAACCCCTAAATGTGTTCTGTGTGATAAATTAACACTAAATGAAAAAAAAAATTAAATAAAAAAATTTAGGGGTCGCTCAAGACCCTTAAACATAAAACAGGTCCCTAATATTTTGAAAAAAAAGTTCTCAAAAGAAGTGAAATTTTATAAAAATTTCAAAAATAATAATCATTTATAAAGATTACTAGTTTAAATTTTATGGCTTAAAAACTATAATTTTTTAACAAAAAATAAAAAGTATATATTTTTAAAGTTTTTTTTTTTAATAAATTTTTTTAATTTGTATTTCCATAAATTGCTTGTATTATTTTTAAAATTTTTATAAAATTTCACTTTTTTTTAGACCCAACATAACATACTTTTGAAGAACTTTTTTC